AACTCTTTTTAGCTCATATTATAAGCATCATTTCCCATTTTGCCCTTGTCCTTCCTTGAAAACTCCATCTATATCCTTTCATTCTTTACAAATACACCCCCACACTAACCTATTCTCCATGAAATTTCCTTACATTTTACTCTCCACTATTCCTACTAATTAGGGGTAGAATGGTCATTATGCCCCAAAGGAAGAATTCTCTAGAAAACTCAAGAAACTTTTTATTAGACTCGTCGCCGCAGCGAAGAACTTTCTGTCGCCCCGGCGAAACAGGGCAGAACCTACCCGTGGGTGCAGCCCCTCCTCGCCGCGGCGAAGCTTCTTCTTCGCCCCGGCAAAGATTGGATTTCCAAACTTCACCAAAACTCAATCATGACAACATACAAACTCAATTGAAACTGAATCAATGAACTTTTAAGTAATACAGCAAATCTTAAGTACGTACCTCAAGCAGGGCATTACAACCGTCATCGTCAGAGTCATCCGAGTATAGTAGGTCATCCCCTGGGCCTCGACCTGCATCCTTTTGACCTTTTTCTGATAAGCTCGGGGAAGGAAAGAAAAGTCGATCGACGGATGAGCCTTCCATAATTTCTGCACGAGGAAGACTGACGTCTCCCAGGATTGGGTAGTGACGACCTCGTTCAGCTCCTTAATCCTAAGCCTGAGTTGCTTGGCCTGAGCTTTGACATTTTGCCAACCTACTGTTTCTTGGGCAAGGTCGAGCGAAGTCTGCTTGAATTTGGCCTCCCAGCTTGCTGCTGCTTTCTGGGCCGAAGAAAGCTTAGAGTTTAACTTGTTGTTGGCTCCACTCTATTGAGCCAAACTTTAGTCGACCTCTGCTACCTTAGCTTCAGCCTTACCCCGAGCAACCTCGCTCGCATTAAGTTTGTCAAGGAACTCTCTTTCCCTGACCCCAAAGGCCGCAACTTCCTCCTTAAAGCGTTCAAGCTAGGCTTGCCTAGTCTCCCTCTCCTTCTTCGTAACCTTGGCCCTGGCCAAGGCATCCTTTTTTACTGTCTCCGCTAGCATCCATCCCTTGTGAGTTCCCTCCAAGGTTTGGCCGCATCCTTTGTACAGAAGTCGGCTCGCCATGGCAACCTAAAAACGAAAAGGTGAGAAGCGAGCAAGAAACAAAAGTAACATTAAAAAAAGGGAAGCGAGCTACCAGTACCTTAGTTGCATAGTTGCATGTTAAGGTCAATATATGGGAGGGAACCGGGTCCCTAACAGCTGCAAATGTTTGCGGGGTGATGCAATCCCTGGCCACCGCGGCCACAACATCGATATGATCAGGGAGTTGGTCTATCAGAGCGTCGAATTTAGCCTCGATCGCTTTGCCCGTCTCCTCATCCTTTGGCTTGGATGAGCCATGTCTACTCCCCCCTAGAGCAGCTGTCGCACCTGCAGGGGCGGGCTTTTTCTTGGCCAAGCTTTTGGCTGCGCTTTTCTGAAGGTCGTTAGCCTGCGTGGCGACCTCTTTGCCTAAGCCCTCATGAGGCTCAGTCACCTTTTAATTCCCTGAGCCATCGTGCTACTCGGGTGCTTTACCTTTTCCCGAGCCTTCAGTTAGCTTGGACGTCTTCTTTGTTGGCCCTTTAGGGGGCCCAGTGGCGCTCTTCCCACCAACCTCCTTAGAGGTGATTGCAGATTTCTTCGTGTTGACAGCATCCGTGGGCTATTTTGTCACAAGAGCAGCCGACACCTTTTGGGCAGCCGTAGAGGCCTCCGTTTTCTTCTTAAGGCTTTTGGGTTTTTTGGCCCACATTTCTGTAAGGAAAGAGGGAAACGAGTTAGCGATCTATTCGCGTGGGAAATCAAACGTGAGCAAGCAACAACTTACTTTTTCCAAAAGCACTAAAAATCTGGCCTCGTCCCTACAAAAGCCGTAAGCCTTTAGGTAAGAAAGCGTAAGAAGCTCGTGGACGTTGTGCGAATTGTTAGGAAGATCGCTGAAACGTTGTAGCCTTTGCAAGCTCGTCGTTGGGAGATAGTTCAGCTCGACATTAACTGCAATAGAAAGTATTTCGATTAGATAATAAAGCAAAGCTCGAAACTTGTCCTCGCATACGCGAGTGACCAAAGCCTTACTCGCTTTCGGAGCAAAGACACCGCTCGTCCCGGGTTCGTAGAAGAAGAATTGGGAATCCCAGTGTGGGACCTTCTTCGGGACATCGTCCAACCCGTTAAAACGTATTTTCCTCGCCTTAGAAAGATAGTACGTCTGGCTTTGCCCTTTTTTGAGCTTGTACAAGTGGACAAACTCTTCGATGGATGGCTCGCCTAGCTTAGCGATCATGTACGCAATGTATACCCTAGTAATGATCAAGTAAGAGTTGGCCGTCAGTTGGAGAGGAGTGATGTTAAATCACCTCAACACTTTATCGATGAAATGGTGCGCGTGAATGAATACCCTACACCTGAGAAGAGTCTCGAAAATTGCCACCTATTCGGCTAGAGGGTTCTTCCGAGAGTGTTCTCTCGTGACCATCAGGTTGAGCTGCGGTGCGTAGGTCGCCCTGATGCGTTTAAGATCCCCGAGGGTGATTGAGGATTGTGGCTCTTTTTGTAGCATGTGAGCTGGAGATGGCGGGGAATGAGCCATTTAAATCGAAGCACGGTCAGACAAGCTCGCAGCGCGGGGTCTGAGCTTCTAGCGACAAACTCTTTGGATATCTCGGGGGACACATCCCTTAGTGCTGCTGAGCCAACCGGTGAATCTAATATTCGATCTATTGTGCGACTACTAGACGAGGACATGGTTGTAACTCGACTCTAGGTACCTGAAAAAAGAAGCGAAAATGTGTTAGAGCTTGAACAACTTGGCGAACATTCCACATTCGCTTCCATCTTAGGCACCTGAAATAGCTCGCGCAACACAACGAAGTCACAAGACCTACTTAGGACACGGGCGGCCACTATGATTAAACCCCTTTAAAACCTGAGAGCGCCGAAAATGCACACCAAAACCCCTACTAAAACCTTAAAACATCCAATGTGACTACTACAGCAGCCACCCTTTAGCACAAAAGTCAAAAAAATGAGCAAAGAAGAGAAAGAAGTCTTACCGGAATAAAGGAGAGCACTGAGAACTCGTAAGAAAGACCACTGTGACGACGTAAGAGCAACGACAAAGAAAAGCAAGAGGGTGGAAGAACTTTTAGAGTGGCTGTTCTGACGATATTTGCCACCTTTTATAGTGATTTTTGCATGGAAGACGAAAGGGTGGAGTTCAATCTCAACCATCGACTTACAACTGATCCTAGCTTTTCGTTCGTTGAACAATCTCAGCCCTTAGACGTGGCCACGTGTCGACCATCCATGAGGTGCGACGAACTGTCGGATTGATTAAAATGATAACCATCGCCACACGACGCCTCAACTTTGTGCGTGAACAACTGTTATCACCCACATGCGACGAAACTTAACTAACAAAGGCTGCCGCATTTAATAGACACGACCACACAAAAATTACATTTATACCCTGACTTTGTATATTCTGAGTTTTGACAGGTGGCACAGGTAATAATGTCCAAGTGTGAAGAACGTTGACCAGACGTAAGGTCGGTCGTGGAAGCCCGATCGAGCATGCACTCAGAGACTCACTGTTGAAGCTGAGCTTGACGTCAAATCGAGCGATAGTCTTCGAAGCCCGAAACGAGCATTGAACACTAGGGGATGGATGTTGTGTGTGGTTTTTTCGCCAAGCTCTGGCTAATGCGAGGATATAGCTCGACCTAGAATGATCTCGACAACTATGATTGATCGATCCAGGATAAGCTCGTCGTGCTATAGCTCGAGCCAACACAAGCTAGTCGCGGATAATCCGAGGAATTAATCAATCTTCAGATCCCGAATATCACGGGAACGACTGGATCAATAGTTGTCGTTGTGCAATTATAGCACCCAATCGCAAAGATATCGGAATTATGATTCAAATAATTTGTAATCGCCTTAATTTCGCTCTTTCCTTGCTGTAAATTTTGTATATAAACCCCCTAAAACAATGAGGAGGGGGATACGAATTATGGATTAAAACTACATTGTAAGCTCTCATGACATATACAAAAAAAAAAAAAAAAAAAAAAAAAATGTGGACGTAGGCTGCTAACTTTGTCGAACCACTTTAAAAGTTCTCTTTGTTATTTACTTTCTAGCATTATCATTCAGTCATCGCTGATTACCCTTTAATCACGCACAAATCAGTTCCAATCCCGACAAGGTCAATCGGATTTCGTTGGTTGGTGCATATTTTCGTATCAAAACAACATTTGAAAACGTAAATAATAAAAATATGTTCTGACATGTTTCTTTTTAAAACACAAAAAATAGAATAAAAAGTACAAAATTTATCACCCCCACAACATATATAACTATTTTAAATTACCATTTATTTTGTTGGTATCGGAGTTAGTCTTAAATATATCAATCGTTAGATTTTGTGCATAATGTTACATTAAAAATCTTGGTTTGAAATAAATTTTTTTATATTTATGAAAAAGAAAAAAAATAGATCAAGAACCAATAACACTACGGACACCGAAAAAATTACACCGAAATTGTGTATTGGCCTATGTGTACCAGTCGCGTGAATTTTTCTTCAATTTTTTTCTAGTGAACGGCCGTCCAAAAAATTTGGAAGGCCATTCACTCACATGGACCCCCGTCCATATTATATGGACGGGGGTCCATATACCAGGGACGGGCGTCCCCCGTCCCTGAATAAAATATAATAAAAAAAATTTTATAAACATTAGGGACGGCCGTTCATCCATTATGGACGGCCGTCCCTTCATTTTGGACGGGCGTCCGCAAATAAGGGATGCCCGTCCTTAACCAAAATATGAAAATAAAAAAAAAAAACTTTAGGGACAGCCGTCCATAAATTTTGGACGGTCGTCCCTTACATTTGGACGGGCGTCCATTACCGTCCTAAAAAAAAAAAATTTCTAAAATAAACTCTCTTCTTCGTCTTCATTCTAAAAAAATTCTAAAAATTCTTAAGACAGACTGTAAGTACTTCCCTTGAGCTTCAATTCTCAGCTGCAAATGTCGCTGTACCTGAAAATATAAATTCGCAATTGATTGAAGTTTGAACTGTATTGATGATGCTTTATTGATAATCAGAAACCAATCTCTAATTGGTTTAATGGTTGTATATACCTCAATCTGTTCATGAAGTTTCCTCTGCACTTCCAGTTGAACTTGGAGAGCTTGAGAGATCTGCAAGCCTCTGTAAACACAACACTTGAATCAGTTGAAGCTACTTGGATTATTACTATATATCGTTTTAAATTCATCGAATGGATTAGGATTTATTTCTGACTATTACTCATTAAACTGATTGGGTGTTCTGTCACTGGTATTCCTACTGAGATTCCCATCACTACTTTGAGTTTCTCTGCAATCTGCATTAAAAAACTAATTGCTTTGAGGAAGTTCGTGCTGCCTGAGAATAAGAATACTGATGCCATTTTGGCAATTTGTCAGGATGGAGTTTTGACTGTTACTGTGGAGAAGTTACCGCCTCTCGAGCCGAAGAAGCCGAAGACCATTGAAGTTAAGATTGCTTGAAGCGTTTGCAGAGGGTGTGGTTTCATTTTTCTTGTCTGTTAAATATAATAAGTGTGCTTAGGAAATGGTTTTAGTTTTGTTTCTCACTGTGTTTGGGTTCTGTTTTGGGATTTAGTGACGGTTTCTAATGGTTTTGTGGTAGATATTATTACTCTTAGAATAACACTGGACAAGAAGAAGAGAGGAGATGGGGAATGAAGACGAAGAAGAAGAGTTATTTTTAGAATTTTTTTTTTTTTAAAAAAAAAAAAAAGCATGGACGGTCGTCCCTAAAGTTTTTATTTTTTTTTATTTTCATATTTTGGTTAAGGACGGGCGTCCCTTATTTGCGGACGCCCATCCAAAATGAAGGGACGACCATCCATAACAGATGAACGGCCGTCCCTAATGTTTATAAAAAAAAATTTATTGTATTTTATTCAGGGACGAGCGTCCTTTAAATGGGGACGCCCGTCCTTGGTATATGGACCCCTGTCCATATAATATGGACGGGTCCATGTGAGTGAACGGCCGTCCAAATTTTTTGGACGGTCGTTCACTAGAAAAAAATTGAAGAAAAATTCACGCGACTGGTACACGTAGGCCGGTACACAATTTCGGTGTAATTTTTTGGGTGTCCGTAGTGTTATTGGATCAAGAACAATGAAATAACTTGGTTTTTCTTTTTATTATTATGAAAAAAGGGACCTCATCTGATTCCAGCGCCCCATTTTCTCCCTTTTGGCAGGANTTTAGCAAAATCTCAAATGTAGGGGATTAAAAGAAATAATTTAAAAAATAATAATAAAAATAATATTGTATTAATATTTAAAAAGAATAGCAATTTAGTAATCTATATAAAATACCCACCAATTTATTATTCCCAACCAAACATATCAATAGAATATATCTATCAATTTATTTCAGCCTAACCAAACACATATCCTTAAACATTCCCAATAAAATATTCAAGGTAATCTATCTTTCCATTAATATAATATTCTCAGTAATATGACATTCAACCTAACCAAACACATATCCCTAAACATTTCCAATAAAATATTCAAGATAATCTATCTTTCCATTAATATAATATTCTCAATAATACGACGTTCCATAAACCAAACGCACCCTTCAGGTTACATCATCCTTAATTTCAACATGAAAACAATTCAATACCTAACTATATATCAACTCTTCTCCTTCTTCCATTTTTAAATATCTTCAAGTTTCCTAATACATTTCTTGTTAATATAAATATATAAGACTGGGTCATGCTATGGTAACTTAAATTTTTAACTTAATTTAAAATACCAATTTATAGCCATTCATAATTCCTAATCCAAACGTTTTAAAAGGTGATGAGATAACACATAAAATAACTAATTACTCCGTCTGTTCTAAAATAAAAGTCGTTTTAAGCAATTGCACACTTTTTAATAAACTAAGTTTTTAATGTAAAAAAAATTTCTCTCTGCATCTCTTATTCGCTTCTCCCTTGAAAGTGTGGTGGGAAATGCAATGAAGAAAAAGCAATAATAGGAAAGTTGTGTTAAATGGCCTTTGAAAGAGAGAGAGAGGAGTGGAGGGGAGAGGAGATGTCATAGACAAGACAACGACACTTAATTTAAAAAAAAATTAAACCCTCAAAACGTCATTTATTAAAAAACAGAGGGAGTATAAAACTATCCATAATTAATTGTTAACAGTAAGATTGAAAATAATTGTATTGATTTACTTCTACGTAGCCATGCAATGTTGTAAGAGTAATGTTACAGTTACTGAAAGATGTATACTGAATTCATATACTGAATGACATGGCGCAATCTTAACCATTGATTCATTATAAGTTAATATTAATCCATGATCATATTTTTATCACGTCATTCAATATACGAATTTGGTGTATAATTTTCGATAAGTCTACCATTTTACATGATGTAAAACGGTTTGATGAAATCATAAATACTTACTAGCCGCCACGGATGCTTGGAGTCAACCAAATCATTTAACTTAAGACAAGTACTTATAAATTAAATGCATAGAAACAAAAATCAATTTTTTTAATTAATGATATTATAATATTACAACAAAATTATACAACATTATTTATATACGATTTTTATTATAATGTCTTGTATAATGAGTAAAAGGTAGGGCGCAAGTCTTGGTTATTATACCATTCATACTTGTAAAAGATTTATATTATGAGTAATACTAATCTTATAAAGAGCCATATAAAAAGTCATATAAAAAGTCAAATCTAACCCTTAAAATTCATGATTGCCTCTTTCTCTCTCTCTTTTTCTCTTCTTTCAAGGATTAGATTTGACTTTTTGTATGCCTCTTTGTAAGGCTAGTATTACTCTTATATTATTAGTATTATGAATGTGGAATATTGTAGTTTGAATTCACATCCAAGTGGGCTAGTAGCATTTATTTCATTTATGTAATTTTTATATGAGTTGATGATATAAGATTTAGAAAGTTGCTTTCTTGTAGTTCTTTAACCTTCATCTTCCAAGAAAGATCATTAATGGAAAACTTGCACGCATCTATGAAGACCAATTTTCAACAAAGATGAAAGCTATGTCTTTTCATCTAAAATCCTGACATTCGTGATTCATTTAACCACCTTGTCAGTTTGCTATAGTAATTTTTTTTTTTTTCAAACCAGTTTACGCGCATCTCAACTAATCTCTTGAAACTTTGAAACTATCAACCGATATAAGCTCTAATGACCACCCTATTGGCAACCGTGGAAACTCAAATTCGAAAAATCATGTTAGATCCTCATCTTGCTCTTTTATCCTCAAAGAGACTTAAACTTGAAAGATTATGTCAGATCCTCATTTACTCTTGAGTGATGCTATGGGTACTAATGGATGAGTACAAATTTGTGTACTAACTAAAGCATAGTACCCGTACTATGCACATAGTACAGGTACTATGCTTTAATTAGTACACAAATTAGTACCCATCCATTAGTACCTAAAGTATTATTCTTTACTCTTTTACCATCAAACCACCCCACGGTGGATTAGTAAATTTATTTATTCATTATATCTTTGCAACTTGTATTAGGAAAGTGGAAATAAATTAGCCATAACTTCAATTTATAAATCCAAGTATCTAACTAGACAACATGTTTCAAAGAACCAAGGGCGGCTTACACATTTGAACAAGCAACCTTTGGTTTCCTGTCTTATGAATATAATCAAATTATGATTGGCGATTCTCCTTTCTTGCATAAATACACGTTATGTTTCATTATTGTTTACGTTAGCATTAAAGGATACATATTAAAATCTGGAATATTGTCTGACATCTGGAGGACCTATTTAACAAATGATCATACGGTTTCAAGAAGTTGAGATAGAAGCATTACTCCATGCATTAGGTACATACAACAACATAGTAACACTATCAACTACCACATTAACTATGACCAACCATAATTTAAGTCAGCTGGTATGTACAATTAAATCATACCCGTACTCTCTCTGAAACCATTAAATATTCTTGCTCCCAGACCCCAACTAACATGACCATGCTGGGCGTAAGCCTTAAGCTACATGCCCCATACACCACGTGCAGCCGCCATTTTGTTGTTCGGCCTAGATGTAAGTTCATACAATATCCTAGCAAACGTATCAGAAAACCTACCATCTGAGAAGAGTATCTCCGCAAACGCATTCTCATAAGCTAGCAACAAGACCCTGTTCTGAGGCTCAGACACAAGACTCTCTAGTATCATTGCTGCTTTCCTGCAAACTTCATGAACTGTTTGTGGTGTCTTGATAATTTTCAGCAGTCGATCAATTGCCCTGAGTGAAAATAATTATAGGAAGAAATTGTGTCATCATCAAAATAGATATTCAGTAGTACAATCCTAAACAAAAATATCTTTGTGTGCACTATTGATAACTTGGAAAATCAAAAAGAAAATTACCATCGCTCATTAGCAAGCTTCAATCTGCAATCCATATTAACTTCCGCAAGGTTATATAGTGCGCCAACAGCAGCAGCTTGTGCATCAATTGTTTGCAAGCTCATAAGATCAACCAAGCGTTTATGTATCTGTGGTATTCATGTTGCCACCCAATATGATCAATAAAATGCAAATACAAGATTTATTTATCATACAACAAAGGACAGTTGATCACAATAATATAAACCTGAGGAACAAATGGAAGAAGGAAGGGCTCATTATCAGGATTTATTATCAAACGCCCAATTAACTCAGCTGCTGCACAATGCCATGCTTTAAATGCAGACCCCAACATCCCCATGATAGCTGCAACTGCACGTTTCTCTCTGTTTGGTAAACGGAATTAATGAATTTACAGAACACAAGTCATAAAACAGAGTACCATAAGCTAAAGCAAAATTAAAGATAAATTCTCACTTTATTTTGATGTAAGACGGCTTTGATGAACTGAAAATTCGAAGATCAAGCAACGGAGCCAAATTTACAATTGTCTCAAGGGCATTTGTAACAAGTTCCTCGTCCTCTGTCAACATTGTGAAATTTTAGTGCATTCCTGACTACATAGAAAAACCTTTTTTTTACTTTTGCATTAATAAAAGAAGGCAGATCTCAAGTTTTTGTTGTACTCAACAAGAAAGAAGATAAGACTATCACAAAACCATATAGAGATATACTTATATCAGTTTTTTATTAAACCCTTGTACTTAAGAAACTTAGCCTCCACTCTCTAGCACCCTGAAACTAAAATTCCCAAATTGCAGAATTTTTGGCACATCAGAACCATTTTCGGGTCATGTAGTTCCGTAGGGTCTAACCTTTTTTGTTTTCTCTCTCTGCATTTCCAACTCTAACCTCACAGCAATGCCATATACAAATCTTGAAAACCAATAACACAACATCCTGTTGAAAGATTCCAGTTTTATTCTATCTTGCTAAACATTAAAAACTGATCTTCTAATCCTAATTCCAACCTGTCTCCAGCAATTAATAGAATTGCCTTCAACCTGAATACAGGCATACAGAAACTGTTACTTTTCAATACTTTTTCCATCCAGTTCTCTATGTTTGAGCTAAATTAATGAGGAAATACAAAACAACCTTTTACTAAAAAACAATGTAATATGATAAAATTGTATCATTTTAGGACTTGTACAAAATAAGATCATAGAATGCTAAATGTAAGTTGTGTTGAATAAAAAGATTAAGTTGTGACAGTGGTATAGTATAATTTATAAAACAATCAAGTGTTATCTAAAAGAATTTAAATTTAAAAAAAAAAGCTCAAAAAGAGCTCCACAGAAAAGCTCACTGTAAAACTAAATGAGTTTCTGAAGATTTTCAAAAATTTCTTCCCTAATAACAACCAAACAACTAAAAAAAAAATTGAAAAGAGCATTTGTCATAAAAAAAAAAAAAACGACTTTTAGCAATTCCAAAAACCATAAAAACAAAAATTTGAAAATCTTTAAGCTCAAGGATTTTTCATATAAATAGTATCCAGTTAAGCAAGCTCCTTAGCAGGCTAATCCGTCCAAAACATGATAAACTCCATATTTGGCACCATAAGTTGGCATTCATTCTTCATCCAATTTGCATCAAGCACCCTCAGTCACCCTTCATAAATTCATTATTAGGACACTAGACTGGAAATTGTCTTTCATTTTCAAACATACTATATATATTATTAACAACATCCCACCACGAAGAAAACTAAGATACTTAAACATCTGGCTATCAGCTTAGAGAAAGTGCCTGAAATTGGAATGAAATAAATTTCTATGTGGGACCCTTGGGTTCCATCAAACTTGAAACCAATAACATCATACTCAACCTTATGGAATTCTAGAGACTCCACATATATTAGCTACAACATTTCCTGACTTTGTGCGAATGTGTGGTAAATACATAAGCCAAACCAATTAGATTGGTCATCTTCTAATTGAGGTACGAAATGATTCAATGACACAATAGATCGCAATATCTCTTCAAGAGACATCAAGGCAAACAACCATAAATCAAAAATTCGTCAAAATTTTTTGAAGCACTTGACCTCAGAAACAACACCAAATAAAAGAAAGAACAGAATGAAATATCATAAATTCAACAACAAATGCATACAAGAAAATATTCCCAAGTTCGCTACCAACCACTACTTCTGACCTGTGATGTGATCTTCTATGCACTGGAACACTGTTTCCAAACAATGACGATGTTGGGCCATAATGACTTCATTATCTGGCATGAATGAAAAGTTCCTAATGATATTAGAGGCAGCAACAGCACACTGCTGCTTCTCTGCACGCCCCTCTTCATCTAGATTAAACAAGCCATCTTCATCAAACCACCACTCTGAAGAACGAACTTTAGCAGTATTTCTCTTTCCCTCGGCCGCAGAAGCAGCAGATCCAACTCTACAACACAAAAAGAAATCACCCAACATTCATGCTCAAGTTCCTCGAACCAAATCTAACTCATTCATATTACAATGCACCTTACTTACCCAGAACGTGAAGCAGTATTATTATTTGAGCCCAATGCCTCATACGCATAACCAAATCCGGTTACCAACGAATTTACACCTAATGTTCTATTTCTAGTTGTCTTTCTTAGTTCTTTAGGCAGCGCTATATCACGCCAGTCATCAATCTGTTTAAAGTAATATCAACAATGCAATAACACATCAAATTCAAGGGCCAGAAAGCTTGCAATAAATTGCAGTAACAAATAAAAAAATGAGCGCACATACAACTTGGAGAAGAGCATCAAGTAGGCCAGGTATTTTGGCAAGAGGAGTAGAATCTTTGCGAATATCGTCCTTTTCTTTGAAGGAGAGCAATGTGAGAGTATTCAAAGCCCATGTTAATTCACTCTTAAGTCCACTTTGAAGAGCAAGAACTATTCTTTTATTGTTTTGATCTGGAAATTAACAGAGCATTTATGAATTCCAATTCAAATTTAATATAAATTAGGGTTTTTATAAAGTGCTAGGGTTATTAATTAACTGACCAGCGAAGGAGCTGTGGACTTGAAGGGATGGACCTAGAAGAGTCGTTGGAGCAACAGTATCCGCTGAAGCACCGATGCCAGAGGAACTGCCGCTGGTGCTGCCGAACGGACGGCCCCTCTTCGCTGCTGGGGCAGCGGCTCCGCCAGCCATTCCACCGGACTTTCCCTGTTCCCTCTTTTGCATTTCTTTGTTTGTCGATGAATCTGGTTGGAGAGGGGTGGTTAATAACGGGTCTAATTGAGGCACAAAATTAACAACCCGATCCAGCAACTGACCCGACATATAAATAGAAAGGCATGGGCTGGACTCTTTTGGGTTTCGGAATGAGTCCATGGGCCCAACGAATCTTTAATTTACTCAAAACTTATAAACATGAAGATTTTTAATGAAACATATTCCATTGTGTTTTAAAAAATAAAATTTCCTAAATATATGGAAATATACATTTTTTATATTTTTTTTCTTACAAATTTGCGTATAATTATATTCTTAACCTATATTTTAAAAATTAATTTCAGGTCCCAAAAGAAAATTTCTAACTCTATAAAGTTATAAAATCAAATCAATATAATTTTTTAAAAATTCTAATAATATTGTATTATGTATTTTATAAAGGACCATTTTCATCCGTAGTTTTTAAATTATAAAATTGAGGTTCCATTCAATATGAAAATAAGAAGAAGTTCAAACGTGTAAGTTTGTTGCATTTGCATATTTTACTTTCAATTTCCTAATAAATATATTTTATTTTTAGAGAGATTATATAAAATGACACTATTTTGAGTAAGGAATTTAAAACTATCATTTTTTGAAAACTTTTTCAACAAATAGCA